TACACTATATTTTATATAATACATACATAGTACACATAACATATATGGGTTTTCAATAAGATATGCTTGATTAAGCTGAGTATACTTAGAATTATTTAGTATTTGGGCATTTTAAATTTACAATTACAAGGAAAATAAAGTTCTGTTAGGTAGTTATTAGGAATGAAAATACTTTGTGGTGCATTTTTAGTATATAAAGCAAAACTTCAAGATCTGTTCACAAACAGCTAATTTATAAGGAATTAATAAGGTAAATGGTATACAGTTACTACAGCATAAAGCACACTACTTAAAAGTAAATGGTGTAAAACCATATTAATACTCAAATTAGCTTGTTAATCTTCATGTCATAATGGACCCAGACAGCTTAACTACATTATAAGAAAAACGAGACAGTGAAAATGTACATGCTATATTTCCTCCCCTTTTAACAACAGAAGCTAGTTATAGACACTACTGATACATTTTTATTAATTAAGCAGAATCTCATCAATTTGGGAGGCCAGTCTGAATCAGGAAGAAAGCTAACAATTTTACAAATATCTGTAAGAAATTGATGAAACTTTCAGATGTTTGCTTGGAAATTCACTAGTATACTATGCTCTATATTAGAAATACATATAGCAATTTAAATTCTGGACATTACTGAAATCATTATAGAAGTTTCTAGTAAACTTCTGGATAACAAAAGAAATTTGAAAAGTATTTGAAGATATCTTTTATGGGGAAAGAAACACTCAGCTTTTGTAACATTAAAAGTGACTAAAATTATTCCCCATACTCTTTAGATGAGTCATAATCAAACATAGCTTTAGACATAGTACAAACTTCCTTGGCCCATCCTTCACCTTTACAGGGTGTCAATGCACTCATAACCATCAAGAAACCGGAGCTTTTTCAACCAAGGAGATACAGTGTGCCAAGACGTGAAATGGCAAAATGAAATATGCAGCAGCCCTGTGTAACATTACAGCAGCGTTGTGAGGAAGTTAGAGATGTTACAAACGTTAGTGGATTTGCAAAGCACAGGATTTTACCAGTTAGTTGTTGATAGTGATGATGATGATGATGATAGCAGCACCAGTTAAAACTTGTTCTAAGTATTTTATAGGTATTAACTCATATAATCCTCATAGCTACTCTTCCAAGTAGCTATCTCTATAATGAAGAAATTGAGGGACACAGGGACACTAGTCAGTAAGTAGTGGACTCAGGCTTTAAATCTACACAAACTAACTCCAGAGGCTGTGGTGGCAATCCAAGAAATCTGCTGTACTCGGATATACAGACATATGGGTGGGAGCACACATAGTAATTTTGAATAAAAATGTGGCATGTCCCAAGGATGACAGTAGATGTATGCGCTTGCTGGCAAGCAAGTGGTAGAAAAATGAAGGTGAAAAGGGTCAGAAGGAAAATGACTACAATAGTAGTGTATTTGGGGCTTGCCTTAGAAACATTCTTCTTGTTGGGACAAAATACCCAATACTTGCAATTTGAAAAGGAGGAGAGGTTTATGGCTCACAGTTTCAGTCCATGGTTGGCTGGCTCCAGGCAGAGAGGGTATGGTGAAAGGTCATGGTGGAGAAAGCTGATAAATCCCCTGATGAGTACAGCACCCTCCTGACCAATCACTTCCAAACACCGGACTCTGGGAGGACATTTTAGAACTAAACCATAAGGATCAATCTAAATTAGCTGTCCTCTTTGCATTAAAATGCCTTAAAAGACAAGAGATAAAGGACCCCTATCTACTTCCTCTGATATTGAATATTAAAACTTACCAAGCTTTAGACTGTATTAAAAAATAAAAATCATATTCCTCAATTTAGAGTTTATAAAGATACTAATAATTTACAGCAATTTGGGCAAAGGAGGGCTGAAGTTGAGCTGTTTACTGTTACATAAAAGGATTTCGTTGTATAAATTATATACAGATAAAATTTTATAGGTGAAACTACACGGGTTCTACCTTTACTTACATGTCACAAGAGGACAATATTTGAAATTCTACTTTTCAGTTTATTTTTTTTATTTTTTTTTTTTTGCGGTACCAGGGATTGAACTCATGACGTCGCACTTGCCAGGCAGGCGCTTATGCCACTGAGCTATATCCCCAGCCCCTACTTTTCAGCTTAAATCAACTGAATAATAAAGCATTTGTCAAAACACTGTCCTGATAACAGAAATGGAAAATGGAATATAGTTTTCTTTATAACCCACATTGGCTATTTCTAAGAGGCAGAAGTGCTTTTAACTTGAAAAACTCTTCAATACATTTGAAAGCCCTAAACTACTCAAAAATTATGATGTTTGGGGGAGAAGCAAAAGGAGCTCTGTGGAGACTTTCAAATGCCAAGAGCAAAGCTGTCTGTCCTCTGCATTTGGACACAGGAAATTCTGAGAATGGTAGTATAGAGTGTATCACATGGACCTGTCTTCCAGCTCAGCACTCAAGCAGTCCTGTCTAATTCTAATGGGAGCAAGAGGACTAAGAAAAATGTACACACTATTTCTGCAAATGCTCTGTTGTACAAACAACACTGTTCTGGCTTTCTGCTAAAAAGCACAGGACAAAGTTGAAAGAGAAATGTTCCCTTGCTTTATAAAGGACTTTTCTGAGGCCTCACAGAGAAATATGATGTAAGGGTGAAGAAGTGGTAGCAAGTGGTGGTACCCAGCAAAAAGCAAGCAGGATGGTAGCCTGCTGGGTTAATGTACTGTACTCAGTGAGAGTAGTAGCATTCAGACAAAACAAGATCCATGCCCAGCAAAAGTAGACAGGGCGGCCAAGGAGTGATTTGAATCACCTAGAGAAACGGCAGCAATAATCAGCCGAGGGAGCAGGTGTAGCTGTCAGTGGGTGAGGCAGATGAGAAGTAAATGGCCATGGTTCACTAGTAAATGACTGGCCTTATTTAGAAAATGCATCACAACTCCTGTGCACTCCCCAAAACAAGCGTGCTTAAAGAGATTGCTTTGCAAGGGATCATGCATTAACAAGGGGATAAAAAGGACACCCATATGTGGGTTATTCATCCTTCTTTTTTCCTGAACTTCAAGTATCTCCAGGAAAACGATGCAAAATTAAAGAAAATCACTAAGGTAAATAAAATAAATTTGTGAAAATTTATAATAACAAGACACACGTAGGATAGGAGGGGATCAAATCAATATCCTTCAAGACGTCTTGCCATATTCATACACTGTGCAGGTTTTAAAAACACTTTCAGTTTTAGTGTATGTGCTACCGAAGCAAGCACTAAAACACTTTCAAATGTCTGTCTTACTCAAGAATGCCACCAGTTAAAAAGAATGCAGGTAATTTCCTTGTTTGAAAAATCTGCCTGGAGGAAGTAGTCAAGACTGAGCTTGTATTATTCAAATATTGTATTCATGCATAAACAGTTATTTTGAAGTAGAGAAGAAAAGGATTTCAGAAGAATGCTAGATTCTACATTTTGGGAAGGAGAGATGGGCGAGGATTTAAAAGATACTGAAACAGTTAAGGGGTACCTACCAAAAAAGCTGAGAAATGCTACCTCCTTCAGTGCCCTTGTACATTTCTCCGGAGGATAAAACCCAATCCACATGACACAGAACTGGAACAATAGTAGCCATACAGGGGAAAAGGGAATAAAAGAATGTATTCCTTTAAAAATACAGCAAAATCAGCCCAATGTGGTAGCACATGCCTCTCATCCCAGCACTTGGGAGGCTGAAGCAGGAGGAATACTGCTCAGTTCGAAGCTAGCCTGGACTACAAAGGCCAGCCCGAACTGTATAGTGAAACTCTGTCTCAAAAAGACAAAAAAAAAAAAAACACAAACAAACAAAACCCAGCAAATTATCTTACTACTGAACAGGAAAAGGAATTACCCAAATGAAAAGGATAGCAAAATAAAAAACCTGAATAAACAATCATTTACCAATAATTTAACTTTTCATCTGTTGGTAAGTATCTTTCTTTTACCAGCTTCTGTTTGTTTCTGTTATGTAAGGTCATTGGTGTCAATTTCCGATGTGTCAGAAGGTCATTCTGAATCCAAACTGTCAGGCTGCATCAAAGATAAACAGCATTAATTAAATTAAACTTGACCTAAACTTAGGATAACTATTCTCTGGAATAGGGAGAATCTATGATAGCACAAAGTTTGAGGACATAAAAATAGAGATAAAAATACCTAGTAAACTCCTTTTTACTTTTTACTTATATCTTCAAAGTTTCAACATTTAAGGTCTTGCCTGCAATTTAGGCTACATTAGAATTATTGCTATCTTCCTTAACAATTATCATTACCATATAAACTAAATTTGGAGAAAGTAATACATAAAATAGGAATAGTTTCACTAATATAGTGCTGACAATCTTCTTTTGAATAATAAAACCTGTGTTTTAGAAGTACAGCTCACTGAATAATTGCAAAATACAAGTGTCTTCTGCCAGGGTACTTAGGTATGCAAGTCCCTGATTTCTAAAGCCAGTTATTTTGACTGCTATGAGGACAGGCAGCTTGAGGGCAAATAAAAGCCCAGTGTAAAACATGATAGCAAAGAAAGAATTAGGCAAGAAAAGACGCTGCTGTAGTTATAACAAAGATAAATGATACCATGGCGCCAACAAGACATTTAAAATGGATGTGTATTAGCAAAATAATGCAAACAGCCTGAGGGAATCTCTCTTGGCCATAAGCTTAGAACATATATTTGCTATTTATTATGAATAAATTTTCTGAGGACTATCTGTTCACTAATTGAAAATGTACAAAAATAAAGACAACTAAATAGCATGAATTTAGATAAACTACTCATTAAATGTATTAGATGTTATAGTTGCCCTTAGATAATCTTCAAATTACATTAAAATTTAGTGTACTGTCCCATAATCACTTCTCCAATGTTATCAACAGTATTAGTATCTGTTAAGTATATCCACGAACATATTTAATCAAAAGGATAAAAGATATTTAATCAAAAGAAAAAAGATATTTTAAAATTATTCAACATCAAACCACACAAGTGTAATGATAAAGTTTATGTAAAAGAGCAAGGGAATCTCAAAATAAGGAGATCTCAAGCTTGGACTACATCTGTTGTACCAAAACTCAAATACTATGAAGACTGGCTCATTTGTGATCACAGAGCTTTATAATATCTAAATATAATTAAATAACACAAAAACCTTGAGCATCTTAGGTGTGGACATTTTACCACGAGGTTACACAGCTTTACAAAACAGAGTCTCAGCCAGGCATGGTGGCACACACCTGTAATCCCAGCACTCAGGAGACTGAGGCAGGAGGATCCCCATGTGTTCAAGGCCAGCCTGGGCAATGTAGTGAGTTCAAAGTCCGCTTGAACTACATAGTGAGACCTTGTCTCAAAAAACAAAAACAAAAACCAGGATCCCTACTATAAATTATCTTATAATCCAGAACTGCAGATAAAATAATCACAAAAACAGCAATATGAAATTTTGTGCAAATCTAGTAACATAAGGTGCCACAGGTACTCATTAGATGTTCTAATTTAATAAATAAATGGTCTTATAAAGTAGACAGCATTTGAGGAAGATAGATAGAAAGCAGAGAACTATATACAAAGCATTAATTAGAGAGATGGAAGGCACATTTGAGGAATAAGACATAATCTGCTTTAGTGCACAAGTAGGTGGAAGAAATTAGCGCTATACCAAGGATGTTACTAAATGTCAAACTTGGGAATGAGACATCTTTATTTGCAAGACTTATAATGAGGAATAATGAAAAGTTTCTGATCAGGAAAGGTATTTTACAAAAATAACAGTCCAGGACTGTTGGAAGATTCACTGGTAAGTGACATATTGGAGAAGTGAAGGAAGATCTGATACAATACAATGATCTGCTAGGGAGACAGTACAGTAACAGAGAACACTAATACTCAGTAACGAGATCTCGAATTGGGAATGGTGGCACTTGGCATATAAACAAAGAGATGTAAATGATCTTTTGAAGAAAAGCACCACAGCACATAGGCACAGAAGAATATGGAAGCAAGGGAAAAAGGAAGCTCCGGATGACCACCAAGGGATGGGGATCTAGTTACCGTACAGATTATGAGCCGTGCCTTGAACATGGCTCACTGAGCAGGGCTGCTTCCGTCACCCTGTGACTAGCAAAGGGTTCCAATGCAGCCCATCTATTCACAACAGCTGGCTCAACTATTCAACTTACCTACCTCAATTTTCCTAGCCACTGACGTCATTATGTATGAGGTTTCCTGTAATCCTGCTGCCTTGCTCTCAGCTGGGAACTCAGTCTTGTCCTCTTGCTAACTTACTCCAGCAAGAACCCACAAGTACAATTCTTCTTGGCCACACTGACTCCCAGGAACCCCTTACCTAGACTTGTTTTCAACTGATTTATACTGGTTCCAAGCATAGGACTTGGACTGAAACATACATGGAAAGAGGTTAGTCTGGAAGAGAAACAAATTCTGTTAATGTTAGTAAGTGGAATTTTAGGTACAGTGGGAGTCAGAGAAAAATGAGTCACCTGGGTATACATGTCTGGCTGCTAGCTAAAAATACGTAAGAGGAAATTTGACTATGTAAAAAGTATTTTTGAGTTTTCCAAATAGGAAAGTTCAAGCCCCTGAATAAATCCTAGGAGAAAATAGTCAAGGACAGATGTTTTGGTAATGTCCTGATAAGGAGACAATAGAAAATTCAGACAGGAGATTGAACAGTGCACCATCTTCCCCTCCGGAGCCATGAAGTGATGCTCAAAGTAAGGACCAGAGCTCCCCCAAAGTGAACCAGAGCCATTCCTAGCAACAATAAGGTCCCAAGTTCCCTCGACAGTGAGAACAGTCAAGTTCATCAGGAAAGCCACCATGACAAGCTTGTCCAGGAGAAGCAACAGCCCCCTCAGAGCTTCTCTTCTTCCCCAGTTCTGCCTCTTAATGCTGCCGGCAACAATCCTCAGGAGGCCCCTCACACACAGCGCCATGCTGGGTGTTACAAGTTGACCACCAGTTGTCAATTCATCACATGTATAAGGGTGTTGTAAGGTTTAATTAATGTTGTATAATGCTTTGAACATGAAAAAGATTAAGCATTACTAGTGAGCACTGCATAACTGCCTATAATGTGAAAATTTCACGCTTTAATTTTCTTCAAAACAGCAATTACTAAATAAATAGTTTAATTCCCCTAGTAACATTTACCTGCTAGTATTAGCAATTTATTATTTAAAATGAATCTACATTTTTCTATACTGTGTTACAACATATAAAGTTCTAGATCACTTGCAGAATCTAGAACACCTTCTTAACCTAAATGTTAAATGTAAATATTTAGGACATATTTCCTTGATAATAAGTATCCAGTACAGGTATTTAATAAATCTAAATGTTAAATGTAATAAATCTAAATGTTAAATGTAAATATTTAGGACATATTTCCTTGATAATGAGTATCCAGTAGAAGTATTTACTAAATCTAGAAGCTAATAATTTCAGTTAGATTTTTGTGGGGGGTTTTGTGTTTTGTTTTTACTTTTGTTGTTGTTTTTTGTCTTTTTGAGACAGGGTTTCACTATGCAGTTCAGGCTGGCCTTGAACTCACTTTGTAGCGTAGGCTGGGCTTGAACTTGCAGTGATCCTCCTGCCTCAGCTTCCTGGTACTGGAATTACAGATGTGCGCCACCACACCTGGCTTGATTAAGTTTTGATACAACATAAAACACGAAGCAATTGAATGGTACAAGTAAAATACAAAAAGTATAAAGTACTGTGTCAAAAATACTATCATGTTCTTATTCTGAAACCAGCTTTAGAACCTAAAAGTGTACAAAGAAAGGAAAAAAAAAAAAAGACTTCCAAATACATTAGACACTCTACCTGGTCTCTTGTTTTCCAGATATTAAAATTACAATAGTAATATATCCTTGCTGTTTGTTTAAATGCAAGCAATATGGAAGTATCTGATGTAAAAGGGAAGTGTTCCCTCCCATCTTCCCACTGACTCTGATGGGCACCACTGCAGAGTTTGTGATGCGTCCTTTCAGACTTCTTCACTGTACCTCCAGCATACCCACACTCATGGTGACCTGTTTTGTGTCTTCAAAGATAGCATTTTACTATATATACCCCTTGCTTTTTTTCACTAAATGACGCATGGCTACTCTCTTTGTCAGCATATACAGATCTACCTCACAGTTGAAATGTCCCATTGTTTAGTAATCACAATTGGCTTAATCATTCTCCTAACCTATATCTAATTTTTGCCTTGGAAAAGTGCTACCTTATTAATTTCCTATCACCTTGTTTTGAAATTCTGTATCTTATAAAAAAAAATTTTATTCTCTTTAAAATAAAAATTAAAAAGTGTTACCATGAAAATATGCCTAAATGCTTTACATTGTGACTGCTTATGAAGTGACTGTACCAATTTCAATTGCCACGAATAACATGATTGCTTGTCTGCCTATATCCATAACAGCTCTCAGCATTATCGGTTTTATATTGTTGCCAATCTGGTAAGCGAAAAATGGATTGTTATAATTTTAACTTTCATTTTTAATTCATTAATAAGATCAAACACCTTTTCATGTATTTTAAATAATTTTGTTTCCTCTATAAATTCCCTATTCTTATCTTGTGCCCATATTTCTATTAAGTCCTTTATCCCTTTGTATATTAAGGAATTTAATCCTTTGTAATATACTTTGGACATATTTAGTCTTTTAAAAACCTTTTAAATCAACCTTATATGTGAATAAAATAAGAGAATGTGGAATCCACTTTTTCTGTTAAGTTGGTCATAACAGAAAGCTCTTTAAACGCACTTCAGCTAATGCTGTGCAAAGTGCCAAAGAAATCAAGTCCCCTCCCTACCCCAGCCAGGGGCTAGTTCTTCAGATGGCTGACAATTGGTCAGCAGACACTTCTAGGTAAAACAAAAGGTGACAGCTTTCTATGTTTCAAGAGAACTTAGGCTGGATTCTTACCAAAAGAGGTTAGAAGAAATTATCTGCCTAGAAAGAAAAGTAGGAATCCCTTCATTTTCATAAAATAA